TTATTTTATTCGTATTATTTTACGCTAAAATCTTTGATCAATACAACAGATTTAGCTAACTTATTTAAAGTATTCAAAATGTAAATATCAAATTGATTTATTATTTTCTTATTTCCATCAAATATTTGCATAATGAATCATTCGTAATCATTGATCATTGAGCATAACTGTTGTTAAATTATGATAAATTTCTTTTTTGTATAAAAGAAAATTTCATTCAATCATTCATTTAATTATAACAAATATTTTAATTATTGAAATTTCTCTTAAAATTTATTAATTTTCATCTTTTTTTTATATTTAATATGTGATATTAATTTAAAAAGAAAAAATTACACAATAAAACTCACATTTGCTTGTTAAAATCTGATATTCATGTATATATTCTTGATAATAGCAATAAAAATGACAGCAAATAATTATTATTTTATAGTTATAATTATAATGATAATAATTATTATATAATAATAATTTCTACAATACTAGTAATTAATTACAAATAAATAAGTACAATTATAATTTTATTATTAATAAGTTTACCATATACATATTACTAATTATATGATAAAATATAATGAAATAACATTAATACAAATCTAAATAGCATACATAATAAAATATTATAAAGCAATGGTGAAAAATGTTTGTTTGTTAAATGGAAAAAATAAAATAAAATAAACAAATAAATAAATGGATGGAATGAATGAATAAGCTTTAAAGAAGAAATAGTTCACATCGTTGCAGCTTTTCGTGCTCAAACAAAATAAAGAAATGAAATAATGCCTAAATCATTTTCATTCTTTCTATTTTTATTTATTTATTTCATTCATTCATTCATTCAATCATTCAATCTATACAACAACAACAAAAAAATGATTATAATTTCATTGAAACCGTTAAAGGCTATAAATTGATCACATAATTTCATCCATTAAACAAACAATGAATCAAACAACAGTTTCAATTCAATAAAAATTCTTTTCAATAATTTTGATAACAAAAAAGGATGGAAAAATGTAATGACACATCTCAAACAAATAATATTTCTTTCCATATTTGTCCTTCTTTTCTTTTTTTTCTTTTCCCTCCTCTTTTCAATTTTTTTTTTCCGCCTTTTTTGCGCTTCCATCAATGGAATAATAATTTGGAATGCATAATAATGATGAATGACGAATTACTGATAGTTAGATTTTAAAAAAAAATTTGAAAAAAAAAAATGAAATTGAACTATTTTAAGAATTTAAAATATTTTTTTATTGCTTAAAAAAAAAAAATGCATTTGTTGTATAAATTGTACGAATAATTTCTTTTCTTTTTGCCTTTTGCTTTTTTTTTTAATTTCTCTTTTAAATTTCCATATTTAATATTATTTGCTATGCAAATTAATTGCTCATTGATTATTCCTTTTTTACGGATATTTTCTTTTCCGAAAAGTAATACAAATAGAAAAAAAAAAGATACAATAAAATGAAAAATATTTATTAAATGATAAGCCATTGTTATCAGTTGCTGGTCACTGTTTTATTGATTAATTGATTTGAAAATGATTGTGTACAGCTAAATAAATGTTAAAATATTAGGCAAACATTGATTGCATTTTTTTATCATATTCTGATAATCAAACATTTGCATTTTTTTTTTTAATTTTTGATCATATTGCAATTAAATTTTTTTAATCTGATATCTATTAAAAAAATTTTAATTAAATTTTCATTAATATTCATTTCATGATACTAACTTTCCTTTTTAATTTGTTACACTTTTTTTTCCTTTCATTTCATTTATTTTTGTTTTTTATTTTTTTTTATTTTTATTTTGCATAATATTTTCAATCTATTACATATTTTTAGTATTGTCACATATTTTCGTAATTTTTTAAAATAAAATTCATGTTTTTTTTTTTTTTTAATTTCAAAGTTACGGCTTTTTTTTTTTGGTAGAAACTTTTGCTTTGAACTTTATAGTGAGACTTTTGCTTTTGGATTTATTGCACATTTCATTTTATTTTTTATTTTTTTTTTCAATTTTTTGTAATATATTTTAATAATTTTTTAATTTCATAAATTTTAAAATTTGCTACTTTTTTCTTTATAAAATGTTGAAATTTTATTAAATGGTAAGTAATTTTTTTTTTCACTATGAAATTGGCAAAAAGTTGACAATCCATTTTTTTTTATGTCATATAATTACGATACTGCATCCATAGATAATGTTATTATTAGGCAGCAGCCATATGTTCGATGATTTTTCGACTCTATAAAATTGAACATGAACTAATATTTAATTACTTTCATTAACTAATTAATTGGCTTCCTGCATTTTGTATTTTCTTTCTAAATAATTCTCAGTGCTGTAATTTTGAAATGTTTTAGTTAATATTAATGATATTTTAATTTAACATCTACTATTCTTACTATTATTAATTATAAATAGTATTAATTATGCATAAGTAATAAATTAAAAAGAAATTACTCGAATGAGTAGGTAAAAACTTAGTTAAAGGTAAAAAGAAAAAATGGCAAATTCCAAATATCAATGATTGCTTCTTACATTTGCATACAAATTGCTAAAAAAAAATCAATGGAAATGAGAAAAAGTTGTGCAAACTTCAAAAAAATTTTTTAGGGTTTCATTTAAAAAAGGTTTTTTAATTTGTATTATTAAAATTTATGAAATAAGATTTGATTTATTCAAATTAATGAAGAAATGCTTGATTAAATTTAGAAAAAAATATCTTTAAAATTTAAATCATTCATTATTATACATTTAAATTCATATCAATCAATGCATTGATTATCATATCATTACACATCATCCATTAATCATATCATTACATTACAGCAATTATTATCATAGAATGTTGTAATATATTTAATGTACAATTATTTCTGTTTATTGAATTAAAAAGAAACGAATAATTGAATTTTAATTAAAACAACTTTTTAAACTTGTTTCATTTTTATGCAATAAGAATGAATTTGATTGATTTGAATTAAAGTAAAACGAATAATTGAATGTTAATTAAAACAACTCTTTTAATTTGTTTTTCGTTTGTTTGTTTATTAAATGCAATGAGAATAAATTTGATTAATTTCAATTAATGAAAGTATGTTTTAATTATTAATTTAATTATGATCAATTCATTGAATTGGAACACAAACAAATTTCTGATTTACTGAACTGACCATATAATTTTGTCGACATGCTGCACGTGGATATAAACATGGTTGTAGATTGCAAAATTCCGTATCACTTACACTCCTTAAGAATTAATTAATTAATTAATTATTTTTAATTTTGACTTTAATAAAAACATAACATATATAAAAGTTTTAGATAATTAGGAACTTTTAATAATAATTAATGAATATGATGAAATTTCATTGCAAATTCATTTAAAAATTCGAATAATTTTACTTATTTTATTACTATCTAATTCATATCACTCATCCATTTTAATTATGTATGATCAAATAATGGATAGTAAATTATAGGTAAAATGTGCAAAAAATGTGCAAAATACATAAATACTAAATATAAATAATCAAAAATACTTAAAAATTTAATTCATTAAACTTTTATTATTATGCATTTTTGCATTATTAATTTTCTGGAAGATTTTCTGGAAGAAAAAATTAATAATGTAAAAAAATGCATAACTCTTTCAAAAATGCATAATTCTTTCAAACACTTAAATTTTAAATGCTTATCAGTTAAATTCTAAGTATATAAAAAGAGACAGAGAGGGAGAGAGAGACGAATAAGTATATTTTAATGATGGAAATATGATAGAATAATTAATAAATGAACAAATAAATAAAATGTATAGCAAAATTCTGGCTATAATTGAGTTTATATTATTATTTAATAATTATATTAATTTAAATATATAATATAATTATTTGTTTAATAATCTATTTTAACTCTAAGCTAGCTTAACTAACTGAAAATTTTTTGCAATAATAATAATATGCAAGCAAATGTTAGCTAATTATTGATCAAATTTTTTATATAAAAATTTTTTAGCAATAAATTATTCTTTGATTAACAAAAAATTTATTATTTCAAAAAATTACTCAAAAAAAAAAAAAGTCAGAAGAAATTACCCGGGACAAAAACAAGTCTCAGTACTTCGTTGACAACCACGAAAACGTTGTCGACTTCCGTATGCGCCACATACGTCTGTACAAAGTGACCATGATTCCCATACTGACCACTGAGCTTGACATCCTGGTGTTGTTACTATTGGAATCTATTAAAAAAAAAAAAAAGTAACAAACTTGAAATTTATGGAAAAAATTTTAATTTTAAAAGTATAAAGTTAATGAAGACTTAGGATTACTAATATTAATATAAGAAATTTCAATTTATTAGTTTCAAATAATAATTTTAATGATTTTAATCAAATTTAAATTATACGAAATAACATTAAATTATTTTTAACCTTTAACCTTATCATTTCCCATCAGAATTCACTTATTTTTTTACCTACATTCAAGCTTCCTTAAATATTGTACACTTTCCATCTGTTGTCGTTGTTACGTCAAATTACGCCACGCAATTATAACACGTACGTAAATAAACGTATTGTACAGATGAATAATTTACTTTATTACCTTCTTGAACCAACTTTTTAATACAAAATTAATCGATGTTAATTTCAAATTCGCAATATTTTTCAAAATATTTCAATAGATGAAATTCTTTTTTTTTCCTTTTAGTCATTTATAAATAAGATAAATGTCTTTCAGTTAGAATTATAAACCTATGAATGAATGCCGAATGTTTTATAGACGAGAAAATGGCAAACTCAATTTAAATTCGAAAATGAACAGAGTTTTTTAAGCTCTTAAGCTAAGCTCGAGTCTGAATCAATTTTTTTTTTTTTCAAAAATGTAAAATTAATGCTCACATTGCATTATGGAATAAGTCTGAGAAGTAAATGAGAAATCAATTGCATTTTTTCGAATTTAAATTATAGGTTTAAATTAACTCTATAATTATAAATGAATAAAGCTTACAATTGGTGCTGTTGTTACTATAATTGGCGGTTTTGGTTTCAGTGTAGTTGGTATAGGCGTAACTGGCGTCGTATCTAAAATAATCTATATACTTATTCTAGAAAATAATGATAATTTAGGATTAACCTAGGATTACTAATATAAAAAATGATAATAATTCAAATAAAAAAAAGTAATAATTTAGGATTGCTAATATCTTTACATTATTAATGCAAACAATTTAAACATTAGTTCCAAACAATAATTTTAATCAAAGTTCAAATTATTTTTAACCTTTAACCTCATCATTTTCTATCAGATTTATTTACCTATTACAAGACAAGAAACGCTTGCTACATTAATTCTTGACTCAAATGCTCGCCATCGAGAATTACTTCCACATAACAATTCTAGTTTTGCTTGACCAGTTATATCCGATATAAATGGCAAATTTACTTCATCATTGAAATATATCCTTGCAGTAGTTCCTTTCTATTTATTTCAAAGATTTTGTTTTTTTGATTTGTTTAATTATTTGCTGTTCAATTTATCAAAATTTTCAATTTCTTTCCAAAAATAATTATTTAAGTATAAAATTTAGCAGTTACATAAGAGTTATAATTAAAAGAAAGATTTCTTTTTCAAAAAATTAATTAATTAAAATTTAACATCAAAAAAAAAAAGAAAGAAGGAATATTTAAAATCATTATTAAACCTTGACATCACCACATATAATATTTGCTCTACGACAGCCATCAAGTCCTCTTGAATATTCAATTGTTAATGCACCGTTAATTTCATTTGGTTTTAACACCAATATTGGCTTAGTTTTAATGTTTTCGCAATTTGCGCAAAGTAATGGCGCTTAAATTGAAAATTGAAAATTAAAAAATAATTGTAAATTAAATAGGAAAATTTGCTAACAACGTATATTGGCCAGAAAATAAAATTTTTTATAAGTATGTATTTTATAATCTTTACTTAACTAAGATAATAATAATATTATGTAACTTTTCTCATATTTAAATTACACCAAAGATATTTAATTACAAAAAAATTTTTTTTACCTTTTGCTGTTGTTGTTAGTACAGGTACTGTCACTGGTAATTTCGTAGTTATTGGAGGTATTGTTGGAATAATATCTAAAATTTATAAATTTGTTATTTTTATATTTTTTTCAAAAATTTGAAAATTATGACAAAAAATTTTTAAAATATTCAAATGAGAATATATAAAATAATTTTTTTTTCTTAAGAAAAGATTATTGTCAATATAAACGTTCTGAATAATAATAATAAACTCAAAAAAAAAAAAAAAAAACCTCGTGAAAGACAGGTGACACTTTCAACGTTAACACGTGAACCCTCAGCTCTAAAACGTAAATTATCCGAGCACACCAATAAAATCATTGCTGCACCATTTACATTTGAAACGATTGGTAAATTTTTCATTCCATTGAAATAGATTATAGCTTCCGCAAGTCCCTAATAAATTATTACTTTAATTAAAGTATACGAAATTAATGTACAAATAGTATAACTAATATTAATATACTCTAAATGAATATAATTACATGTAAATTTTTATATTTTTAGTATTATTGCAATGAATTGAGCAATTTTAATATTTCACGAGAATTTTTATAAAATAAAATTATTATTGATCGTTTCATTTATCATTTTCTTCTCTTTTTTTTAGAAAACAAGAGTATATTCTTGAAATTAAAAGCACATTCTTGAGTACACTCTCGAGAGCTATGAAAGAGATTTATATGTTTTGGTTTACGCACATATATATTCCAATTTTGGGGAAACTACTGATAACTAAAGTAATTATATTTATTGATTTAAAATTAGTAGAATTGGTGGAAATTTAAAAATTTCAGGCAAAGTGATCTAATCCACTTACAACACTAGCATTACACAGAATTTGAGCCACACGGCAACCAAGTTGGTTTTGCATATATGTAATGACAAGTTTTCCATCACCTTCAGTTAATGATGGATTTTTCACCCGTTCAGCTCTGATATTTAAGCATGTGCTACATGGTACTGTAAATCTTATTAAAATTAAACATTCATTAATTTGAAATGTAATGCACTCATATAAAATATCGTATGACTGAAATATCAGATAAAAAATTTGTATTCTAAATAATTCAAACTTCATTTCATATTAAAAATTATTCGATTGAAGTTAAAAATATAAGGAATATAAGATAAAACATACTTGGTGTTGTGATTGGTGGTAACGGTGTCGTTGGTATTGGAATATCTATAAACAATTATGAAATTATATCTTGAGAAATTTTTGCTTAGAATTTAAGAATGCTTGAAACATCATTCGAAGATATATTAAAAATATACTGAAAATATTAAAAATAAAATCCCTCAAATGATTGTTTTTTTTTTAATTTTATAATGATTTATGACATTTAATTATTTCAAATTAAAATTATAGAAAAGTCATTCTGTCTTTGTTTCAAAAAATAAAATTGATTAATTTTCAATTGCTGCAAAATTCATCAAAGAATGATTTATCAATTATGTGCAAGATTTTTTCATTTCAAAAGAGATTCTGTACATTTAAAATATGTTACTGATACAATCTGATTTATTTTTTAAAATGAATTAAAGTTCGTTTCAAAATTAAGAAAAAAAAAACCTCTAAGAAGACATGTCACATTCCAAACATTTGCCATTGATTTGGATACTTTCCAATGTATATTATCGTCGCAGGTTAAGGTAAGTTGAACCATTCCAGTTGGTGACATTGCCAGTAGATTAGTTTTAATTCCATTTGCATAGATTATTGCAGTTTGCATAACCTAATATTAATAATATTAAAATTATCATATATTATCAATGATAAGATTTGATTTAATTCATAGAATATCAGATGTCAAAGAATTCAAATTCAAATTGATAATTGAAATAGCAATTGAAATATTCAGCGGGTTTCTAGATGATTTTACAAATTGTAAGAAGAAGTTCACAATAGCATGTACATAAATTTCAATTAACTTATCACTTAACAATAAACTAATCACTAGCTCAAATTCAATGATAGCAGCCGATAGTAATATCTTCTTGTTTTGTTTAAAAAAAAATTTTTGTTACCATAATTTTTATACTATCTGCATTTATCAGATAGTCCACATATTTCTTGATAATGAATGTAAAATGCTGATTACAAAATTTATCTATAGTCTATTTTTTAAAAAATCAAAATTTATTTATGTTTAGTAAAAGAAAAAAGTTTTATGCTTGCAAGAATTTTGTTTTATCATAATTTATGAATTTCATGAAAGACATACCAAAGGACTAGAATCACAAACAAGGTTAGCTGTACGACAACCTCGAACATCTACACCATAAACAATAGCTAATTGACCGTTTCTTTCACCATTAATTAAAGGTGCAGCACCTATTCCCAGTATATTGTCACAAGCACGGCATATTTCCACTAAAATTTTACAAAAAATTACAAAAAAAAAATCAAAATCTTTGTTAGATTTTTGAGATGTTATAAAGCAAGCAAAAAGTATTATAAAGTTAAATGACATGCAGCAATCTTAGGTTGCAAATTTACAAAATTAAAATAAAATTTGACAATACAAAAGTTTGTTTTCTCATTGCAAATAATTTATGGAAAATAGAAGTTAAAAATATGAATTATAATCAAATTTATAATGTAATTTTATCAGGAATTTTATTATTGATATCTGTGATTTGTTTAATCTTATTTGTATTGCAAATTTCAACTTAATAAATTTATTCAACTTACCTTCCTTGCTAATTTTAACAGAAAATTACAAATTGTTATTTATCACATAGCTTATCAGTGACATTAAAATTATTATCATATATTGCATATTTGCAAAAAGAAAAGAGAAGGAACAAAAAAAAAAGAAAAAAAAAGAAAAATTGCAAGAAACCATGCAGTGTTATTTCAATCAAAATCATTTCTATTACAAATAAAATATTAAAATATAGAAAAATGTGCTCAGTGTTTGTGTTTATTACCAACATTGTCGTTTTGTTCGTATTTTGCTCATTTGAGGTATGAATTGTTCATTCAAATTCTCGGATACGTATTGTTGACGAAATTGTAAATCTGAATGGAAAGTGAAAATTTTTATATTCTATCATTTTACATATTGTTTTGTTGTTTTTTTTTGTGTGTGTGTGTGTGTGTATTAAAAATATGCATTTGATTTATTTTTGATAATCTTGATAAAATTCATAGTTATTCTTTGGCTTTAGGAGTAAATTATTTTTTAATGATTATTATTGTTTTGTTCATTTTTTTTTACAAATATATGCAAATATACATTATCTTCAAATTTGATCACTTAATTACTATTGTATCAATCAATTAAGTATAGCAAATTTTTAAGGGTTAAAAGTTGCATTGAACTGTTCGTTTCTTTCTTTCTTTTTTTTTAATTTGATCATTTCTTTATACTTCTTTCTACGTTGGGAGAATAATTTGATTTTTTTTTGTTTCCTCTTTTTTTTTCTAATTTTGATGACATAATCTTGTAGAATGGCCAAGTATAACACTTTATGGTCAAAATTTAGTCATTTAAACAAAATGGCTTTCAATCCCTTACCATTAATATATTTTATTGTATAGTCGTTTTTGAATAATGACCAGTAGAACAGGTTTACTATTCATGCTTGGTCACCTTTAAGTAACCAGTTAAACAGGTTTACTATCAAATTGGCTACCTTTAAGTAACCAGTTAAACAGGTTTACACCACTCGATCATGCTGTATTCACGGAAAAAACACGATAGTAAAGTTGCATGCTACACTCGCATTACCTTCATGCATTTTACTAACTCGTTGTTTGTGGTACCGCAGGACGAGTAACCGTAACAGCGACGGTAACAGCTTTGACAGTGAGAGCTGAGGTTTTGGCAAAGGGTAAAGTAGAAGCAGTAATAGGTATAGCAGCTGTAGTAGCAGATTTGGCAGGTTTAGCGGTTACGGTGGTAGGTACAGCAGCTGCGGAAGTAGGTTTAGCAGCTACGGTGGTGGGTACTGTAGCTGCGAGAGTTGGTTTGGCGGTAGCTGCAGGAATTGGCTTGGCAGTAGTTGCAGGAATAGGTTTACTAGCTACGCTGGTAGGTACAGCAGCTGCGGTAGTAGGTTTGGCAGCTACGGTGGTAGGTACTGTAGCTGCGAGAGTTGGTTTGGCGGTAGCTGCGGGAATTGGTTTGGCAGTAGTTGTAGGAATAGGTTTGCTAGCTACGCTGGTAGGTACAGCAGATACGGTGGTAGGTTTGGCGGCTACGGTGGTAGGTACTGTAGCTGCGAGAGTTGGTTTGGCAGTAGTTGTAGGAATAGGTTTGCTAGCTACGCTGGTAGGTACAGCAGCTACGGTAGTAGGTTTGGCGGCTACGGTGGTAGGTATAGCAACTGTATCAACGATAGGTACTTCACAACAAATAAGCATAGAATCTGCGGTAGTTCTGGCAGCAATTGTAGCAATCGCTGTGGTAAGTATAGCTGCTGCAGTGGTTCTGGTAATGAAGGTAGCAGCTGCTGTAGTAGTAAGTACATCAACAGCCATGACTACAGTAGCAGATGTAGTAGAATTAGGTATGGTAGTTGGAAATATTGCAGCTGTAGTGGATGGTTCAGCTATTATAGCACTGCATGTGACAATTGCGGCATTAGGTGTGACAGTTACGGTAGTAGGTCTAGCAGCTGTTGCAATAACTATACCGGTTACGGTACAGGACTGTACAGTAACGGTCTTAGTAATAGGTATGAAAATTTTAGTGAAAGTAGGTGTGGTTATTGTAGGTATAGCAGTTGTAGTGATCAGAAGTGTTTTCATGATATTCACGGTACTTCCTGTTGTTTTGACCATTGTTGTTGATTCTGATGATAAACAAAATTCTCTAATAAGTTTATCGGAAATTGATAAACTTGTTTTAACTATATCTAAAATAGTTAAAAACAGAAAAAAAAAGGTAAAACTAACCATATACTGCTGATTCCTGAAAATTAATTTTCATTAAAGTTTCAATTATTAGTAAAATTACTGTGTAAATATTTGAATTAGTAATCAAAAATGAATTGTATTGCTCGTAAAGATATGACTTAGTTTATTTATTTTCATTTTAGTATTTTTATACCTTTCTTTTTTTCATTGTTGCAAACAACTTAAATAAAAATATATCAAATAAATAAATAAAAATATATCAAACAAATAATTAAATAAAAATATATATAAATAAAAATATACGATTTATAATGAATGAAAACATCATTTGATAATAATGATTTTATCAATTTCTGATAATTATCCATCTAAACACTAATTATAAATTTAGTCGTTTAAAACAAAAAATTTGAGGAAGGTAACTTACATTGGGACAGTGAAGCGAGAAATTTGCAACAGTTCCACATAGTCTTACTTCTGCATTAAATGAACTAAAAATATATTGTCATTTCTAATTTACCTGGCAAAATACCTATTTATTGCTCTGCTAAGAATTGATTATACAATTATAAATTCATTATATTATTTCCATAAGCAATTTTCTTCTTAGCTGCAAAAGTATTTTTGATTGCAAATTTTTTGTAATGAAAAACAAAAATGAAATTGAAATTCACTTGCAAGACAATTTTTTTGTCGTAGTACAATTCGGCGGATTTTTTCGACAAAACCTAAATTATTATACTGTTGAATAATTTAAATTCTTTTTTTAAAAAATATATATATTAATGATGAGATGAAACTGAAGAATCGTATTCCTTTTTTTATTTTGAAATAATCGTTAAACTTTCTTTAAAAAATAGTATCAAATTTGTTTTTCCATTTAGCACATAATTTTAGGCATTTTTAGAGCAAATAAAAATTTCCGGTTGATAAAATCCGAAAAGGTAATAGTTTTTCTTTTTGTCCTTTTTTTTCTCTCTCTCCGTTTCTTAGTATCACTTATTTTTTTTATTTTCAGGTAATTTTCCAGGTAAAAAAAATATTTCCGTTGCCCAAATAGCTTGGAAGAATTTTTTTACAATGATTTTTTTTTTGTTTTATTTTATTCACCTTCTCCGTAATTGCGAATATAATCCGTAGTGACCACTGGGCACTGTATTTTGCCATGCTGACCAACTACTCCAAATTCCTACATTGTTGCAATTAATTAAATCTTCAGCATAGCTTGAATTGTAGAAGTATATTGTAATTAGAACCATAAACCAAGTATGCATCTCTGCTAAAATTAATTAGCAATTGAAATAAGCAAAAAATTTATTTTCAAGTCATTGGCATAATTTTTTTTTAAAAAGAAAAATTTTTGATCGAAATTTTACCAAAATTAAATCATTTTGAAGTTTCTAATTATAAGTATTTTTTTTTTAAAGCTAGAACAATATCATATATTTGATAGAATTTGTTTCATCACTGTTATTTTAGCTTGATAGTGACAGAATTAAACAAAAAGAAAAAAATTTTTTTTTTCAAATTAAAATTTATCCAAAATATTATCTAATCAGTAAGTATAATATTTGTTGTCAAATTTTTTACTTTTAATCTTTGTTAATATCAAAATAATATTTATAATTGCAATGTATATGTAAACATAAACGTCTTATATGTATCTTATCATATTTTTGAAAAAAATAAAATAAAATAAAAAATATAAAAGGAACTCTTTAACAATATTTAAGAAAAGGGAAAACTAATTACAATAAAGTCCATGAAAATGTCTATTTCTACCTTTCAAATTAGAAAAAGTTGAATAAAATGAATTTAACCAAAGCAATGTCTTTTTTAAATAGATATTAAGCGATTGCTTTAGTAGTGCTCAAGAACTTTTATTAGATTTGAATTAAAGATCCAAGTTCTTTTTCCTTTTTTTTTTCTCGAAAAGTGTAATTTAGTACACAACACAATTATTCCTTTTTTTTTTCATTTTTCTTTAATGATGAAATTTAGAATTTTTTTTTTTTTTTTGAAAAAATTCTATCAGTTGTTTAGAAATTTGTTAAATGTCAAATATCATATTTTGGATTAGTAAAGGAAATGTTAAAGTATGAATAGAATTATTTAATAAAGAATGTTTGAAAAAACTTAAAAAAGATATCACCGTATTATCAATTTGATTTTAATTATTGATTAATCAAAAAAATGACCTATTAACCATTTTTTCTAGAATATTTGATTGAATATTATAAACAAAATTTTTTTCTATAATTTAGAAATATGTCTAAATTTCGTTTAGTGAAAGCAAATTTAAAATGTAAAGAATTTTTAATATTAACGTTATTTTATTTGAATATTTCTCAAACAAATAATTTTTTACACATCAAGTACAATAAATATTTTTGTTGCTTAAAGTAATACATTATTATTCACCTCTGATCTTTCAGTTTAATAAAACTTTTTTTGTAATGTTTTAAAATATAGTAAATATTTTTTCTTTTTAAATTTGATTTATAACATTTTTGCATATCATACATTTTGATTGTTAAATTTATTTTCAATTATAAAATTATTTTTAAACAATATCATATTATATAAGACAACATATAACTTTCATATTATTATCATTGCCTTTTCTTGTATTCAACCTACAATTATAGTTTTATCAATTTAATTTAATTTATCTGATTAATCTATACCAAACGATAATCTTATTAAATTTCTATCAAATTTCTTGAAAGGATACAAACAAAAAAAAAGGGGAAAAAAAGGAATAATCAAATGATCGAATCTATCCAATGATATTTTCTGATAATTATCTGTTAATATATATAAAAAAAAAATCCTTATCACAACTATTCGTCTATGGCAAATAACATTAAAAAAAAAAAAAAAAAACTATTTTGCCGTCAAGAAAATATTAACAAAAGAAAAATATTCATAAAATTAAAATCCGGTTACTGATATATTTCCTCCTTTCTTTTTCTTCACCGGTAAAGAATGCAAAGATTTTCAATTGATTAACTTATACTTTATTTTTTTCTATTCTTACTTGATCATTTACTTGATCATCAAAGAGAAAATTATATTTGTTGAATTTTAATGTTCATTTTTATCAGTTGTAATAATTTTTTGCTTACTGTTGAAAAGATAACATTATCATTTATCACAGCATAGTGAAATGGTCAATTGCAAGAGTTAAATTAGTTTGAAAAAAAATCCAAATTTCATTAAATAAAATATTTCAAATGGTTAATTGAAAAAAAAAAAAGAGTGAAAATGACATAAAATGAAATGATCATGCACGAAATTACAAATAAAAATTTTTATTCAAATGAGGACAAAAATCAGGAAAATGCTATTTAATCTGATAGAAAAGAACTAGTTTATTGAAAGTTGACAGTGACAATAACAACAACAACAACAACAACAACAACAAGAATAAACAACAACAACAGCAACAATAATAGTAATAATAATTTACAATGAATTAAGCCAATAAATATTCAAGAATTGTAATAAATTTGTCTCTTATGGATAAATTACTTTAGAAAATTCATAAGTTAATCGGATAGATTGTAAATGTGAGAAATCAAAATAGATTGAATAATTTGAAGACTGGATTCATTCTGTTGTAGAAAATTTTCAACCATCATTCACTAATTGATACTTGATGTATTATTATAATTGTAATAGAATTTGAAATTTGAATGCAAAGATTGTATTAAATAAAATGAAATTTTGGTAATGTAACAGTGATATGATGATGATGATGATGAATTTATCTAGAAAGATAATTATGACAAGAAATAAATAATAATTGCAAAATAATTTATTTCTAAAATAAATAAAAATAAACAAAATATACGCAAAATAGATGTTTCTTTTTTTTTCCCTTTCTCTCTCTCTCTCTCTCTCTTTCTTCTAATATATATATATTTTTTTTTGAATGTTATCAAATTATCATATTTTATAAATCAACAAAAATAATTTACATTTTAAATAAACAAAATTAATTACACTTTTAATTTTATAATATTCTTTTTTTCTTTTTATCTTCTGTTTATTATATCAAACTTTCTTTTTTCATTTACTAAACAAACATATTAACATATTTGTAATTAAATAGAAATAATTACAATTTTAATTTTTTTTTTAAATATCCTTTTTCTTTTTTCATCTTTTATTTATTACATTAAATTTTCGTTTTATATTTATTAAACAAACATTAATTATTTCTCTTCAATGACATTTACATGTAACCAAATCTTCATCAATCATATAATTTCGTACCATAAATGAAAATTCATCATAATCGAGAACACCGTCACCGTCAACATCAGCTTCTGCGAATATTTCATCAATTACTGCTTTATCATGAATATCACCTAACTCACTGAGAATATATTGAAAATCTTTTTTTGATACCACACCACCTTCACCCTGAAATAATTAAAATATATGAGTTGTCAAGAAATTTTAACAAAAATAAAATTCAATTAAAAGTAGATTCCAGCTAATAAATGAATTTATACTTTAAAATATGGTATATTTTTGCATTAATGTTTGCTTATTTCTTAACAAATTTTAAAAAAAAAAAAAAAAATGAAATTATTGATGGAAAAAATAACGAAATTACTAATGGAAATTTGATTAGTAAGAGAGGTAAATATGATATAAATCAAAAAATTTTATTTCAATTATCTATTAAGTTAAGCATTTATTTTGTTTATTTATTTCTAGCATATATAATCCTAACATTTCAATTTTCCTTTTTTCAATCATTTTTTTTTTTCATTTACTTACTCTATCAAAAACAGCAAAACATTCTCGTGTCACATCATTCCAACTATTTTGTTTGTCACTCAATCGTTTCATCACATCACAAAATTCATGAAAATCAATTTCATGATTACCCATCTATAAAATAATTAATT